CTCCTCCACAAATCCCACCCACAAACCCCCGCCACACCCCACATCCCCCCCACATCTCACACCCTATACACCCAGGTGCCAGATAGGATGAGACCTGCTGGCAGGAGCTGTGGCTGCAGGAGCAGCTATCCCCACATCCTGATTAGCGAAGGGGTCAGGGGGAACTTTGATTTTTCTATGATAAAAAAAAAACCAAAAGCAAACACCAAAGCATATAGATATTTAGAATTTATTTTATTATGATGATAGAGGCACTGGTAGGCACACAAAATGCTTTAAAATTGTAAATATATCAATAAAACATTGCCCAACTGATCTCCCTCTGTATATAGATAGATATCGATAGAGTGGTGTTTCATTTTAATTGTGGAAGAACACAGATTTTGGGGTATTTTAAAGAATGAAGTTGGGTTTTTTATCAGAGAACTTGCAATTTTTAAACAGGGAACACCAGGATTCCTGCTAGTGAGGCAAGTGGCATTACCCAGGCAGAGAAGCCTGCCCAGGGCTGGCACTGGGGAGTCAGCTGGAGGGCGAATGAAGTGGCTGACCACCTGGCCATGTGGGGCTATGCTCTGCCAGTTCAAAGTAGGCCACCATACTGGGAACATCTTCCAGGCGATAGCTGCCCAGGTAGCAGGGTGGGGGCACACATGGCAGCAGTGCCGTATGAAGGCCGACTGTGCGGCCATGGCCCACTGGCAGCTGGCCCAGAGGTGCAGACGGCTTTGCTACAGTGCCCATGCCACATCCCAGGTAGCCGTGTGGTCCCCATCCAGGTCTGGCAGGTGTGCAGACATGGGGCTGCAGGTCCAAGGGGGAGGATGCTGTCACAGGTGGCAGCAGGTCACAGCCAGGCATCAGCCCCCATTGCCAGACTACTGCAGTGGGTGGAGTGTAAAGGGGTCACTCTAAGTCAGGGCTGCTGCAGCAGTCCAGCTGGCACGAAGGGCTAGTGTCCCCATATGCCAACTGGCTGGGCCTCGAAGCTCCTGAGAGTGAGTATCCCTGAGCTGCTTGCCAGGGTAGCTTCTTATACTGCCAGAGCCAGCACAGGTGCTGGCCTCAGCCTTTAGCTCACCCTGGCTACAGATCCGGGAGCAGTTGGGCAGGGTCACTTTGCCCCAAATGGCACAATTTGCTCCACACCAAAGTGCGTGTTCAGGCACATGTGCTGAGGCACAAATCTCCAGCACAAATTTGCACCACTGCTATCTGAGCGGCTGCAAACGCACATGCCTGTATATGTACATGCATCCTTCTTTTGTATTCTAATGAACCTCTGAAGAATAGGCTGGAATTGAATAACATTTCAGATATTATTTGGAGAAAAAATAATCTAACGCATCAACATCATTGTAATTACCTTATGTCAGCATATAAACTTAACTAATTTGAATGCAGTGCTGCTTGAGGGAATTGTAGTTCAAGAGAATTAATCACTTTTCTGTTCTAAAAAAATGCATGAATGGAAAGAGGTAGCTAGTCCAGACTGCTACCCAAGTTCTGGTTCTTCATACTTCTAGGCAGGTGGTTTAACATTTCAGCTGCTGGGTTTGAATTTAGATCTATGCTTTTAGTTCAACTGGAAAGAAGCCATTTTTCTTGCTCAAGTTCAGCATTTTGTTGACAGTGCAGAATAACAAAAATGATTAGGGGCCTGGGAAGCAAGATTTATGAGGAAAGACTGAAAGAAACAGGGCTATTTAGCCTGGAGAATAGAAGCTTGGGGGGTGGGATTTGATGATCATCTTCAAATACCTGAAGGGCAATTCTCTGTGGCCAAAGGGGATAGGACTAGAAGCTGTGGATTCAAGATTCAGAAGGGGAACTTTAGGCTGGAGATTAGGAAGAATTTTCTGCCCATGAGGGTGGTCAAGCATTGGGACAGTTTACCTAGAGAAACTTCGGAATCTCCATCTTGGAAGTTTTCAAGAGCGTATTAGACAGATACTTGGGTGGGATCATTTAGTCAGAAGCAATCCTGCCTGTTTTGTCCAATCACCCAGCAAGTCTGTGGCCTTCTAGAACCTGTGTCTGTCCACTGTAGTAATGTGTTTTGAGATCTCAGACCCAGAACTGGTTTTTAATGGGTCATTTTCTATTACCTTGTCTAGTGTAGTTTGAAGTATCCCATGTGAGGGGGTTTGCACCACTTCACTTTGGACATTCTTCTAGAGTTTAATGCATTTCTCTGGCAAGAAGTTTTATATAACAATCTATCAAGCTAAATTTCTCCTTTCTTAATTTCACCCCTTTACTTCCAACCTACATTGTCATGACAGAGGAATTTGGAGATGATGGGAGACAGGAAAGTTGTTTGTTGAATCTTGGGCATCTCATTTAAGAGACCATAGTCAAGTAACCTTAAAATTGCTAAACTCATACCTGCTGGCTGCTGGCAAGAAACAATGATGTGTATATGGCTTAATGAGCCTTACTTATTTCTTATGCTCAAGTAAAAGCTGTATCAGAGTTAAAAAATAAACTAATTTAATCAGTTTTATACTAAAAGACCACACATTTCTTTTCTATCACATTGCTCTCATCCACTTTAATGTCAACAAAATTGAAAATAAACTCTGGCCTGTACACATTGCCTAAGTGCTTAACTTCAATTGGACTATTCAGTTTCATAAAACTAAGGGGCATAGTCCAGTTCCAACTTAATTCAATGGGATTTTTGTTATGGAAGTTTAATTACCCTTGGATCAAGCCCTAAAAGAACATCTCTGTAAGAAAAATAAATATACTGGAAATGTATGGAAAAGCTTTTACATTATGGCTTCATATTTGTCCTTTTCATCCTCATTAACCACTGGTTAAATATGAACTATATTTTATAGGTTGCATTCATGGCTTCCATGGCAACTCACTTCAGTAATCAGAACAGTGGGATAATCTTCAGTAGTGTTGAAACCAATGTTGGAAATTTCTTTGATGTTATGACTGGTAGATTTGGTGCTCCAGTCAATGGTGAGTATTTACAAGGCAAAGTAGTGTAGATTGACTCTGGAGTGTCTTATTAGTCAGATAGGAAGTAGATGTTGAAGGAACAAATTTAAATGTTCTGTTGTAAGTGAAAGGGGGTTTTGCTATTGACTTCGATAGAGGTAAGATTTAGCTCTAAATTTGATTAAACTCTTGGCTTACCCCAGGTTGGAGAAATTCTCTGTTAGAGTTGAGGAAATGATACACAGTCATTGTTCAGTACAGTAAGACTGACTATTATTAATCAGTGTTAGTCTAAATTAGAGATGAGTTTTTAAAATAGGATTTTTGAGTTCATAAAAGATGAAAGCTTGGTCTCTTTACAGACCCAAGTCTTCAACTTATCTACAGAACACCTGCAGCCTAGATGGTGACAGTATGCAACTCAGTACAAAGTTTTGTCAGGGCAGCTCAGTCCTGAGCTAGAAGGACCACTTGTAAGGACAAATAGGTCATTTGACTTTTCATGTTATTTATATTGGGTGCGTCTACACATGCCTGGGGCTGCGCATTTGGTACTGCGCAATCCCAGTGGCACACAGTTATTTTTAGACGCTATGTTGCTGTAGTGACAAGCTATGGTAACGTAGTGTCGGCATCACGGTTTGTGCCTATTGACACTACATCACCATAGAGATGAGCTCCATTGCCATAGCTCATTGCTATGGTGATGTAGTGTCTTGCATAGATGCATGCACCAAGGCCTTGCTACATACCCAAGTTACACTGCCTTAGCTGTACAGATATAGTCAAAGTAGTATGAGCCCTGTAGTGTGGAAGCAATAATAATGGTGGAAAAAGTACTGGTACTGCTGTCACTTGTTTCTGTACAGAAGGAAGAATAAGCTATATTGCTATAAGGCACTTTTTCATCTGTGTAATTGCATCCTCAGTAGGAGAAGCAGAACTACTGGTTGTTCTGTAAAAACCTACACACCCTAACTGAAAGATATATTAGCACAAGGTCACGGTCCAGGTTCAACTTCAGATTTAGGTGGGTGAATAGCACTTGCTCAGCTAACTTTAGCAGTATCAGCGGCGGTTTTGGACACTTACCCAGATTCTAGACTCTGTTCCCCCGAGAGTGTACATTTCAGTCATGAACAAACAGAGGTGGTGGCAACCAGCCCCTGCACCGTTTAGCCCAGTAGCTTAGTGGCTAGGGCTGTTTCTCAGAGAGTGGGAGACCAGGTTTTAGTTCCCCCTCACCTCATTCTACTTACAGCTCCTTTTTCTCAGCAAAGCATCCTCACCTTCAGGCAGCCTCTGTGGACTTGCCCATGACATTGTCAAGATCATCCTCCACCTTTCCTTTTAGGGGTTGGCTGGAGAGAGATGGAAGACCCAGTCATTTTCAGATACTTATTTATTCAGAGTTTCATATCACTAATTTTCTGGGCTGTCTGTAGAACAAGACCCAGTCAAATCCTGGCCTCCCTAGGACTGAATAAGAAATAACCACTGACTTCACTGAGACCAGCTTTGGGCCTAATTTAATTAATTTTCTAATCAACAAATGCAAATTTGTGGCAAATAGTCTACTACATGCCAGTGTCAAACTCAGATACATGTTATGTTTGTTAACTTTTTTTCAGGAGTATATTTCTTCACCTTCACTATGATGAAACATGAAGATGTGGAGGAAGTGTATGTGTACCTAATGCACAATGGTAACACAGTTTTCAGCTTATATAGGTGAGCTGAAATTCATGTGATCTTCATCACAATGCAGAAATCTACATACATAGCCAGTCTTACTTTCTCATAGATTTCATCCTACCAAGGTTCCTTTAAAACGAGTAGAAATATTTACCACCCTATATTGACAGACCTGTATCATTACTAGATCCTTGTATTCAGTCTTGGTCATAATTTCCTCAACATTGTCAAAAGGGGTAAGTGTTTTAATTTGGGGTTGGGAACTAATGGTAACTAACTGATATATTTTTGAAAAAGCAATAATAATCTCCAGTATATTTTAAAATGAGTGATTTACAAAAACATCCATATCAACTAACTGACAGTCCTATAGCATGCTACAAGACAGCTGGTTATGTTAAAGGAAGCTGTTCTTTTTTAAACTACATTACTATAGGTAAGTAAGAAGCCTAAGTGCTTTATTTAATGTCACCGAAAGAATACATCTTAACTAAAGAGATTTTGTATCATGAGTAGCATAGTGAACATAAACTGGAATAGGAAATATTTGACCATATTTAAAGAAAGATATTGAACCAAGTTACATGGTTAAAAATCTGTAGCTAGTTGGGTACCTGCAGAAATTATCCTCTTCTATTATTTGTGTAATGCTGATGATGGACTTGGAGCCATGCTGTACACAAAGTAAAGCTCCTCTCCCCAAAGATTTGCAGGCACACAAAAATACAGGACATAATGAGAAATCCAGAGCTGGGAATGAATTAGCAAGTTTTGGTGCCAAAGGAAAAAAATCATACATAACCATCCAGAACGTCAAAAAACCATGAAATAAAGCAGTTAAATTTGGGCAAAATGGGACTAGTAAGCCACATAAGATTGTAATTTACTGCTATGAAGTTCAAGCAAGGCAAATGAGTCAGCAGCTTGTTGGGGGATGCTCTGTTCATGCAACATGCATTCTTGGATTGATATTCTTTTTGTTCTGATGCTTGCTTGATCGTTGTTGACAAAGGCAAAACTGACCTGGTTGTGAAATGTTCCTCCTCAGCTATGAATCAAAAGGAAAATCTGACACATCGGGGAACAGCGCGGTGCTAAAACTTGCCAAGGGAGATGAAGTGTGGCTGCGTATGGGGAATGGAGCGCTACACGGAGATCATCAGCGCTTCTCCACTTTTGCTGGGTTTCTTCTTTTTGAAACAAAGTAAAAACAGAAATCCATTTTGATGCAGCTCCTTTATTCATGTGGTATTCTTTCTGGTCTATGGAATGATGTTACATATTAAGAGCAAGGAAGGCTTGTTTGGATGCAGTACATTGGTATTTGTGTATTGGGGATGCATCGAACACATCGGGCAGGTGACACAGATACAGATTCTCATGAGGTACATTGCCACCTTGGTTGCACCTAATTAATGAGTAAGCCTTGCTACTACTCCCCCCTTATTCCAAAGCAATTGAAAAAAGTTTTTAAAGATGTTATTTAGAGAGAGATTTGGGAAGCATGACCCAGAGTTTTGTCTAGATAGATTTTTGTCAAATCTGTTAGGAACTTTACAATTGATTAATGGCCCCTTATTCATCTAGTTTGTTTTATACTTTCATTTAGGCTTGCACCATAGGAGCTGGCTCTGGCTAAACTACAAGGGGACTCAGCTTCAGATGAGAGTGGATTTAAAGGAATCAGTTTATACTGGACTAGAAAAAGCTTTGCAGAAACAAAAAAAAATGTGAAAAGTAGAGGTGGCAGGGATTCAGGTGTCTTGCACCATCCTCTTTTACATTTTGAAGATGAGTTTGGTGACTTTAATATAGTTTTCATGTACATATTCACCCCTTCAGAAAAAAAAGTGTTAGGTTTTCTCAGTTTGAGAAATCCAAAGATGAGTTTCTTTTGCCTGAGTTATGCAGGTCATATGGTTCTTTCTGGTCTACAAATTGTGAAAACTGTCCTGACAATGCTACATATCAGGACAGAGACCTACCCAGTATTACCGGAGATATCTGAAATGTTCAAACAGCACAACAAGCTAGAGGACAGGTACTCTGTGGAGCTTGGAGCTCTTTTTTAAAAGAATGACCTTACAATATAGTTGTCAGTGTTATTTTTCGCACAATCTCTCCTGGAAGTGTTGTTTCTAGGAGACGGTTAGCACATCTACATGTGCATTAATGCACCATAATAACTTATACTAACTTAACATGCTGTGTAATTGGCACTACTGCTCAGTAGTGCCGGTGCACATCTTTTACACAATGCTAATGCACAGTAGACTAATTCTACTGCGCATTAATGCATTAGCACAGCTTTTGCCATGATGCGCTAATGTGCAGTAGAATTAGTCTACTGTGCTTTTAGCATCTCATGTAGATACACCCAGTATTTGAGAAATGGCTTTACAATATAGTATGCCAGCAACTACAATGTATATAAAATATACAATATATAGCTGATAAACCAAAATGTTACTGGTTCAGGTGATCTGTATCTACAAACCTCGTTTTGGACACTGTATTTTTGTTATTCATCTGTCTTCATAAGCAGTAGCGCCTGTCCTCCATTTTTAACTTTGTTACCTTAAGTCCTATCTTGTCTATGTTTTGGTATTTTAAAAATCAATTTACAAGTTCCAAACAGGCTAAAGCACTCGTAACAGTCTTTAACACAAGGGCCTTTCTGCATATTACAGCCTTCCCCATACAAAGCTTTCCCCGTGTAAATTTTATCTTCCTTTTTTTTATGCAGGATAGTGATTACCATTGAGAGTATCACTGACTAATGATTTTAAAGTCTAACTTTTGAATGTTTGTGTCCTTTTATTCATTCCTAGTCTGTGTTAATCTTTTTTTTAGGGAAAAATGTGTTAATACTTGACCAATAAGATTGCTATGCTTTTTAGATTTTACTTCAACCACTGATAAATATGGATGTTAATTAATTGTCATTTAATAACATTAGGTTTTATTTATATAGTGTTGTACCAAAAAATTTCATAACCTAAGACTTTGTTATTTTCATAAGCATTTTAGCAACAATTTGGGATGCCTTAAAATTGCTCTGTCACAAGCTGGCAGAGGGTAGATTCAGACCAGACA